GAATGGGGAGGGGGGGGCTTATCTTATAATTGAGTAAATATGGTAATATTTTGGAGGCATATTGTTTTAAGCAGAAACTATTCCCAGATTAAACAAGGATCTGAACGTGTGAGGTCTGAGATCAGATCCAAGTAAGGGGTTTCAAAGATTTTGCATGGCCTTGTTTTAGTAGTTTGGTTTTAATATTTTGCATTATCCCACGGACTGGATTTTGAGGCGACTGTGTGATCATGGTAGATGGAACTGCAGCTGCAATGAGACTTTATGTTTGATTTTATACTCAGTAATGTAACTGGGGGGGGAGGAGGGGCAGTAACCTGTGCATCCTAGCTACTCAGCTATGCTTCTACTCCTATTATTTAGTTAGAGAGATTTCTCTTCTCTATGTAATCTGGAAAGGATAGTTTTTGAGGGTGCAGAAGTTAGCAGATGAAAGGACAGTATGATTACATGAGTTCAACTTTAGTTCTGAAAATTGTTATTCTTGGGTCTTGTGAAAGCTAGCTCCATAGTCTGGTTCAGCTTGGGAAACTTGTCTCCTGGACTCTGAAGTCTCCTTTTGTTTGACAGTGTCCTTGTTCTAATAGAGCGCAGTCACCTTAAAAGGTCATGGATACAGAGGGAAGAGATGTTTGCTTTCAGTATGTGAGGCCAATTGCTTTGAGGGCTTTGAATAATAGGAGAGAGATCGAACTGGGTACTTACTGTATTCAAGGGAGAGTCAGTATGTCAAATGGATAACTGGCGTGGTGTTACTCTGTGACACTAGTTTCTAAAATGGCATTTAGTTCTAGATCTTGCGGCTCCATTCCTAGATGTAAGGTACAGCTGATGCTTCCCGAAGCCTATTAAGGATGCCCTTGCAGTTGCATCAAGTGGACCTCACCACTCCCAAATGTTCAAATTCTTACTTTCATTCTCCTCTTGAACTTTCCCACCTATCCTTCCCAAAAGTAGCCTGATTGTTTGTATCTCAGAATTTTGATCCAGTTTGCTAGTTTCCCAACAGCATTTTGAATTCCTTTTGGGTTTTGATCTTGTCTGATATATGCAGCAAACATGTCAGACCTTCCTGTTACCTAATCGCTTTAACCTTTGCTCTTAACTGCCCAACTTACTACAACTCCCTCCTATTAACAGAAAATTGTGCTGATCCATTCTTACAGTTCCCATTTTAGTGAATTGCTAATGTTTTGAAAATGTCTTCCACCTGAATTATCATTTAAGGATTCAGTGGCTTAATTGCAGAGGTGACTGGTGCCTGAGTCTGGGGGTGGGAGACCCCAATTTGTGGGTGGGCCTGGGGGCGGGCCCGGGGGCAGGCCAAAAGCCCTATATCCACACCTATACTTCTGTGCTGTGGCTTAGTGCCCCACCCCCAACACGCTGCTGACCCTCATGACAAAAAGCTGCTCCATCCTGAGCAGTGCCGAGTTGGGAGCCAAGCTTAGTGGGGCCATGTGCCCTCCCCCTCGTGCCCCTCCTACCAGTTGCCTGTGTTTAATTGTATTTGGCCCCTCTGAGAAACTTCTGATAACTTCCATAGGGAAGACCAAGCAAGTCCAAAGATTATGAGGGGGAAAAGGCTTTTTATTGAGTTTTTGCTGTTAAATGCAGAGGCCCTTTGCAAGCAAAGAGGTGTGAAAAAAAGGAGAGTGTTGAGGTTCTGGTTTGGTACTGAGTGAAAAGAAAGAGTACTAACTGCTGAATTATCAGGACCATTCCAGCAGCACTTTGTATTCTGTAGTAATCTTTCATGCAAGTATTGACCAGGTCTTAGGCTAGGGCTTTAAAACAAAGAAAAGGTATGGGGAAGCGGGGAGGGGTCCTTCATTTTTAAAGGATTTTTTTTCATTTTTACAAGACATTCTGTTTTAAAGGTAATTCAAATGCTAGTCCATATAATATATACTTAAATCAAATCACAGTAGTCTGGCTGAAATTACTTAAGTGGGTATAGCCGATAGATAGGTCGTGGGTTATTGCATTGGGCAATAAATAATACAGACTTAAATCAGACTTGAACTAATGTCTTTTCATTCTCCAGATCCAAAGAGGTTGGACTTTGCAAAACTATTATCATCACTCTTTAGTTCTATTTTGGCTGTCAGTTTAAAAAAGAGTGGCACATTACTCGTTTTCTATTGCTATTATTGTAGATCCAAATAAGACACTAAAAAGAATAAATCCAAAAATGAAAAGGGAACAATTAGAGTCTTCCCTTCAAACAGTCCATCTCTGGGTGCTACTACAGGCAAAGAGCAAAACATAGGGGTAGAGGGTAGGCTGAGCATTAAAGGCAGTGTGTTTTAAAGTGCTCCCAACACCACATAAGTGTTTCCATTCTTGGGTTCTGTCTAGGTGGGATTAAAACCATAAAACACTTAATTGAATCTCAGTTTGAATATGGCTCCATCCAAATGGGGTTCAGTTGAGTTAGCCAGTGTGAACAGAGCCAGGTCATGCAAAAACACAGTTTCCAAAGTGCTTACTATTCTGTATTAGGAGACATTTGGCAGTTAAAGCCTCTCCTGCTCTCGTTTGAATTTCTTCTCCCTTGAATGCAGCCTATGTCCTCCTGTTCGCTCGAAGGGGAAAAATGTTCCTGCCTAGATTCCTATTTATTGCTTTGAGATGTTTTTAACTATAATAAGATTTCTTTCCTTTCAACCCTGTCCCAAACTCCCCCCTCCTCCCCAAAGGCAGCCATGTCAGGCTTGAGAAGATACTGCCACTATCCCCTCAAATCAAATTTTTTCTCCCCTGTGGACTCTTTCAAAGTTATGGGTATCCTATTTTTTAATTTGGCATTCAGAACTGTACAAAGCAAGGCCCTTTCTTTTTATAGAAGACCTATTATTTCCTTATCTGTGCAAGTTCAGGTTTTGTTGTTTTTATTTAGACCTTGAATGTTTAAAACCCTTTATATGTGTTTTTAAATAACGCTATGATTAAAGTGATATTTTGTTTGAACAAACAAACATTAAAAATGCAAGATAACTAGCACTGAAGAGGAATACACATCATGTTAAAAATCAGATTTTATACTAAAAAGAATGCTTGGAGGAATTATCATAAAAGTAGATTGTTTCCTGGTAGATATTATGAAAATTTCAGTATCCGTACAGTGTAATGTACTCAGTAAATCTGTCATGATTGAATGTAACCTTTATTACATGCAGTCTGAGAGTTAGATGATGCCATTTCTCAGTCACTGCAGGCTGAATGGCGATGACACACACATTTTAAAGCAGGCATGTTTTAGCAGGGCACAGCTGCAGGCAGAAGTTGTAGTAAAAAGACAATTCAGCGGTGGTGTGTGTGTGCTTTTGTTTTGTTTTGCTGCTGTAGTGAAATGTTTGATCATGACGAGAGACTGCCTCTTTAAAAATCATGTGTAGGTAGCTAAAGCAGACTGCAAAATGCAGGAGAAGCTTAGCTTTACTGGAGTCTGAGTCTGAGTGTAACCTAACTAGCTAGAGGATATGCAATTCCTGATTGACAGCAGGACTAGCATTATGCAAATGTTGTAAGAGAGAACAGCAGCTAGGGAACGGTGATCGGGGGCTCTGTTAGGGATCTCTCTACACACGCCACACTTATCTTTCTCTAGTTTTTCATTTCTCCTTCTGCTCAGTTTAACAGTCAATACATTTCACAAAACAATTGTTGCTTTTTTTGGATATGATTACATTTTTCAATCTAATGCAGTTGCAGTTTGAGATGTGTGAGAGCTTGTTACTCAAGCTAAATTAGGTAATTTTTAGCTGGGTAATGTGCTAATCCTTAAACCTTTATGTTTTTAAATCCTGTGTATGTCTGGTCTCTTCATACAAAAGAGTATTTTGCTTGTTTCTTCTCGTCGTCTTCAGTCTGAAGCCTTATGTAGGTCAGGCTTGGCTTAAGCAGATTTCCTGAACCTGCGTCAGCTTAAGCTGAAGGAATTTTAATAAACCCTCCCTTGTAGGCGTGGGCCTAAATGAGACTAGCCTAGTTAAGCCTGATCTTTTTCTGTTTGTGAAAAAGAGCTGAGCACAGCTAGGGACTGCATGGTGGCTTCAGAAACTGCCTCCTTAATTCGGAGATAACAATGGTTGGGAAGGCCAGATCTTCTAATTTTACCTTATCTGAAAAGCTTGATTTGCTAAAACTTGTGAAGCCGTATGTTAAAATTCTTGAAGAACATACCAATAAGCATTCTGTAATAGTGGAAAAAAACAAATGCTGGGATATCATAGCCGATAACTACAATGCCATCGGAGTAGATCGCCCTCCTCGTACTGCACAGGGCCTGCGCACGCTGTACAAGAGGCTCAAAGAATATGCCAAACAGGAGCTATTGCAGCAAAAGGAGAGCCATTCAGATTATAAAAGCAGCATCTCCGAGCCAACCAAGAAAGTTGTGGAGATGATTCCACAGATTTCCAGTGTGTGTTTAAGAGACAGGAGCAGTTTACAAAGGTGAGATATATTTTACTTTGTTATTAAATGAAAATTATGGCGCCTCCTATCTACTCTCTAAAGCGTTTCTTAACTTGAGTTCAGTGTCTTAAAAATGCCCACAGCAGTACTCAAAAGAATTGGGAGCAATGGTCAGATAATGTTTCCTTTTGTTTTTTTGGTAGGCTTTGTGGTGACTTCACATTACAGTCAGTTTTCAACTCTGTATCAAAGCCTGTTTTAGAGTCTTTTGTCACACTCTGGAAAGTGAGGGTTAAAAAAGAATCAAAGAGAAATTGGATCTCCAACCTCTACCCCTCCCCTACCTTTTTAATAGACATATTATTCAAACATTGCCAGTCGTGGCTATTCTCCTCCATTTAAGGTAATACTGCAGTCTCCTGCTGCATATGAAACTGTTAACAGTTTACATAAGATCCATATAAAGTTAGTTCTGGGAACTATGAAACCTATTTCATACGCCCTTTCCTTATCAAGAATTACTCTAGTGTTCAAATATTGAACATGTTTTAACTGAATCCAGACCTTAAGAAAATTCATCTTCATACACCCAAGTGCCTTTATCAGTACAAATTGATTTTAAAAATACTTTTCAGAGAATGTCAGTGAAGGAAACCAGAGCAAAGTGAACTGCAATATAAACTCAAGGATTGCTTTGTATATTAGGGACTATGTATACATATAGACAGAGACTGAAGAGCTACAGAATGAGAAGTTTTCCTTTTTTTCAGTTCTTTTTTTTTCTCAGTAAAGTGAGATTTGACTAGATTTGAGCTAGACATAATACAGGCAGGCAGTATGCAAGCTTTCACACAGCTGGCTAATACCCCTCAAATCTGACTTGCAACACCCTGCTAGTTTTGTATTGGTTATTTTAGGAACAAAACACTCCCAGGGTCAGATTTGGGTTCCCTTGGGTGTAGATATTTTAAACTAATGTGAGGGGAAAAGTTGAATTTCTCCATTCCTCAAATCACATTAGAGCCATGATTTTTTATTTTTTTTCATTAGCAGATCAAAATAATATGTGAAATTGGCTTCCATTAATCAGATACTACTTATAGTCAGTAGCTCTAGTGTAACAGCTAAGTGTTGTGAGAGAAGCTGGCATGTGTGCACTAGAGAAGTTTTGATTCATGATGCCACTGGTTGAACTGAGTGCTAACAATTGCCTAAATCCCAACATGCCAGAAGCTCTAAAAATAACATGCTTTTCTAGGGCTTTGGTATAAAGAAGTCTGTAGCAGCAATGTAGCTTACTTGCCAGGGGGTGAATACCCAGGAAGGCACAGTGCAAGAGAAATTTGGGGAACAAAATAACCTTCTAATTACAGATATAAAGGCTGTGATATCTCGCACATCATCTTTGGTAATAGAGCGGGGGTGGGGAATGCTTTGGGAGCTCTGGGCTTTTGCATACAGCAGTAATGCTTATCATGAATGATCAAGCGCTAGTGATCTCCCTAATTTGATTTCTGGAGTTTAAACATTTTTGGAATCCATTATGGTTTTGAGAACATTGACTAGATTATTACTTGCCCAAAATGGTTGTCCCTAATACCCAATGCAATGAGAACTGTAGAAATAATACCTTTGCAATACTTTTGACAAAATGCACTATTATTTTGCACTCCTTTGTGTTAATCCTGGGTTATATTTACCTGAACATTAAGCTACTGTAACAAGTTTTTTTTTTACACATTAGAATATGACTTGGTTTTTGAAGGTAAATTTAAGAATTGTGAATCCAAACCTCTAATGTTGCTTGGTATCTGACAAACAATTCCTAGCTCAGTTTGATTTAACAAAACCTGGGAGTTGAATGCCTCAGGGGTTTATAAATACCATCCTGCCCTCATGGTAACTGTTGTCCCTTTCTTTCAGTGAAGTTATCAGGAGCAACACTGTAACTGCCAGAGAAGATCCTCTTTGTTATTACAATTTCTTCTCTTTTCCCCTTCTATCCATTATTGTTCACTTAGCTATAACAAATCTGCAGAACTGAGTCACCTAGACATCTGGTGTCTTTGCAGTGTGCCCAGTATAGATCAGGGTGGTGGTTATTTTTTTTTTCTGCACTGTTATAAGGCTCTAAATTACATCAGATCCTGTCCTGCCTTCCCTCTCCTCCTCTTTTTGGGAACCTCTTTTTCTCTCTAGTTTGTTCTCCCAAATTGTCGTGTTTTTACTAAGTGGTAGAAACAAGTCCCTGAGGCTAGTAACCAGCAAGAAAGAATGAGGGAAGCCATATCAAGAAAAGGCTGCAGTTGAAGGGGAGTGGGGAGGAGATGGGAAGTTTGTTGTGGTGGAAATAGAGCATGATGGTATATGCCTGCCTGGGAAGGAAAACGCTGCCTTCTGGGGCCCCCTGAAAGGACACAGGAGGTTCAAGAATCAAGGGGAGTTCAAGAAGGAGGTGAAGTTTTGGAGGAAATCAGAGGAAACAAGGTTTTGGAAGTGAAGGAATATGATTTGTTATAGGCAGTACTTATGCTAGTCTAGCATTTCCCATATTATAAGAGCATGGGCATACAAACTATTTACCATTAAGTTAAAGGGGATGGGGAATTGCATCTTGTCACTCACTTATTATGTGGTAGTGGCCTATGTGCATGTTCCTCCCCTGCAGTTGAAAGCCACCCTATAGCAGCTTAACCCTCCTTCATTACAGGTTAAGTTGCTGTACATTTAGCTTTCCTTATAGATTAAGTTACTCTATGTACCTGGGTGAGACCACTCGCAAAGGCACATCCTCCCACCTCTATCTCCTGATACCTTGTTTATGTGCCTTTACCCTAGCCTCTGTTTTCAGTTACTTAGAACTTTGCTGTACTTGAACCTCCTTGGCTGGGTTTTTTTTTAAGCTGCAGATCTGCCTCAGGCTGAATCTTTTGGGAAAGTTTCAGCTAAAATAGTGCAGCTGTCTCTCAGAATGAGGCCAAGGAAAATGCATTTGTTTTGCAAGGTTAAAATTCTTCCAAGAATTTAATTGAAAAGCACTGGTTTCTCTGCTTTGAAACTAACTTGAAATTTTGGTGGGAGGGGATCACTGAGCGCTGAAGCTGCTCCGGCGCACTGGAGTTCCAGCACGTTGGAGCAGACTCAATTAATGGAGTGCGCTGGAGCATGGCAATTGCTGCAGTCCACCAGCCTCCTGGGTCTCGTGTATCAGCATCCCTGTGCTTAAAAATGGCTGTGGTGGCGCCTGAGCTAAAGCTCATCAAACATGCTTTAGTTCAAGCACCCCTGCGGCCACTTTTAAGCATGGGGACGCTGATACAGGAGACGTGGTGGTGCTTTAATTAGAGCAGCTCTCAGAGCCACTCTAATTAAACCACTCCCCCCCCTCCCCCGGAGCATGTATAAAAGTGCCCTGTGGTTTTCCAGATGTGTCATTGCTATTTGTATTGAAATCTGTGTGGGCTTGCTTAGAGTTTAACAGCTCCATTCTCTGAAAATGCCATGTGGACAGACTGCAGCCTGAGGCTTTGGGACTCAGCAGGACTTTGTCTGCAGTTGTTCTCTCCAGCTGCCAGGGGCTGACAAAGGAACTGAGAGCAGGGAGGTTGTATTTCCTGTGCTCTTGGTGCTACAGTGGTGCCCTGATGGTAGTGATGATGAGGAAGCTTCCTGAATGGATTGCAGAGGGGGGAGCTGGGCCTTAAGATGGGGGAGAAGGAAACTGGCACAAAGGATAGTGGAAAGGAGACTAGGATGAACCGGGGAAGGGAATGAAATGAGGATGGTGAATTGAAACATGAAAAAATGGAGTGGGAGAAAGACTAGGTGAGGGGCTGGGGATGGTGTAGGCTTTGAGGGGAGCAAATGATACCAAGGGAGAGAATGGGACTAGGCTGGAAGGGTTTTGAACTTAGAAGTATGTTCCTAAGAATTCTGGGGGGAACTTCAGGTTCCTGACTCCACATTTGTCTGCAGCCAGGAAATTCCAGTTGTATACTGGACAATGTATACTTCATCACCCTCTGGTGGCTAGCTCACACAGAAACTAAGGGCCTACTACTGCTAACAGCAATTACTGTTGATACTTGAGTGTTGATAGTCAAACTTCCAAGCCTGTTGGGTGACCCATGCAAGTGTTGCTATGGTCCCATGTGTTGGAATTTCAGTTTGCTTTCTTTAACAACATACAAACACATTCAGAGCATGTTAATATTTTAAAATCATACAAGTTAACAAGGGTCAGAACTAAAGCTGTACCACCTTAATTGTTACTTTATTGGTATGCATTACGATAGTCTTCAGTTACATGAACACATGTTGGTTTTGCCAAACTGAACCTGTCTCAGTGCACAGGGTGAACATTGCAAGGGGAATGAATCTGGGCTATGTAATGAATGAGTCTGTTGCTGGTCAGACTCTAGCCCTGTTTGTTGCAGGCTTTAAAATCGTTGTAACCAAAGAGTTGGGAGAAAGGGAAGGAACGATCACATTGTTAAGACAATTAAATGGTACCTCCAGGAATTGTTTGTATCCCTGCCTGTATTAAAGAGTTTCTATATGGTACTGTGCACCTAAATTGCATCTTTTATAGGTGGCTGCTTACTCTGATTTCCTCATTTTCTGCAAGCCTCATATAAGGTAGCTGGGGCCAGATTTCCAGACCTGCTTGAGCCCTCACTATAACTGAAATCAATAAGGAGCAGTGCTCTGAACAAATCAAGACTTGTAAAAGGAAAGCTGAATTCTCTAAAATACCAAGCCATAGACATCTTAGATTGGGCACCAAAAACTAGTTCTTGCTTCTGGTGTTCAAGTATCTGTGCCTCAATTCTACATCTGGAAATGGAAATAATCTTTTACTGTTTGTGAAAACGAATGACTGAATTCATGCACTCAAATACTATAATGATGAGCACCATAGAAAGCCTGTGAAGAAATTATTTCTGTCTTCAGAACAGGATTTGAATAGTATGCAGTAAAGAATGCTAGGGTCACATGTTAACCAAGGAGGATAAAACAAAATACCAATTAGCTTCTGATTCCCTGAGCACAGTATGCACTAAAGGAGCTGCTTGGAGCTGGGCTGGGGCTGGGACTGGGGGCAGGCGGATGCTTGGGGTGGGATACTTTTAACCAGAGGCAGAATCCATGACAGCCTAAGAGTGGGACTTTGCCTGTAAACTATCTGAAAGAGGGTAGCACTTAAATTGGCATAGATTACCAAATTTATTCCTTTATTTTTGTCTATGCTAGTTTATTTCCAGTGAATAACTTAAATATCACTTATGTATTTTAGTGCCAGCATCGATAAAGAAACACTTGCTGGTGCCTGTTCACCACAGGCAGTGTTGGATCATCATCCTGCAGCTGTCACAATGGAGTTGGAACCAGAAGAGGATGTCAAACCTCCTCCTTCTTTGATTGTAGATTCACAACAAAGTGAGAATTTAGAACAGGGTGAAGAACACCAATTAGTGCATATTATGGAGAGATCTCCTTCAACTTCTGTATCTTCAGTTGATATGAGGATGATGATGTCTCCATCTCCTGTTCCCAGAAGAGATGAGTTTTTTAGGTTTGAGGTAGGAGAACGTTTTAGGCCCATGTGTGGATATGATCCACAGATGTTGCAAATGCTGAAGGAGGAGCATCAAATAATCTTGGAAAATCAAAGAAAAATTGGGCTTTATGTTCAAGAAAAAAGGGATGGTTTGAAAAGAAAACAGCAGCTAGAAGAAGAACTATTGAGAGCAAAAATCAAAGTAGAGAAGCTGAAAGCAATACGACTACGACGTGATCTACCAGAATATAACAGTATCTAAAATATTTATCACTTCTCTGTTACAGTCTCTAAGATACTTTATTATAATTCCTTTGGGCTAGTAAAACACTTTCTTATATTAACGTGAATGGAATGGATCAAAATCTAGCCTTGAGAAATAAATGCATGTTTTTCATTTTGTTGTTTATGTACGTTAGCAAAAGTGTCAGTGTCTTGCTCAGGTTTGAATCTTCCCATCTCTTCTAGTCTGAAGTATAATCGGATACTGTAGATCTAAGTGTGTAAGATGAAACAACTACCTTTTGAAATCTTCCACTGATCTTTATCAGAGCTATAACAAGCTAATGAAAATTTAGGCAGTGCTTCCAAAACATGTTGATTTTATGCATTACTCTTTCTCAAAGTGGTCTTTATCCTTTAGTATTCTTCATGAAGTTATTTACAGGTTAATAAATATACATAAAGAGGAAAAAAAGGCTGTTTCTCTCTTTTTCTTCATTTTAAATTGATGAAACCCAACAGGAATGGCAAGAATGTGGTGATGTTATACAGGTTTGGAAAACATAGTAAACTAATGATTTTTTTTTAGTGTTCAACAGCAAGAAGGTTGAATAAGTGCACATCTTTTAAAGCTGTAATACTTTGTATAGTATTCAGTGGATGAGTATTATGAGATGGTATCAAAATAGAGATGACACTAAATCTTCAAAACTATGCATGCATAATTCGGGAGTAGAATTACTATGATTGTGTATTCAGTTGTGGTAATTATACTGGTGAGCAACCAAGAAGAGGTCTAATTTGTTCATTTGCATGCATAATTATTATCATGCATGTGCAGACAAGACATTTGCAGGTGTGTTTTGGACCAATGTCACCATTTGCTTCAGCTGCTAAATGCGGTACTTACTGTACATAAGTAATTGTGACCCAAAAATCCACATACCATTCTTTTGTCATTTGGATCACTTTCATAACTGGTAAGTTTTTAAAATCATTTTTATAAATGGTGTAAATCAATTTTATAAATCTGGCCTTTTTATTTTTTCAGTAAAAATATTATCTCAAGCACAAAAAATGGATCGATCCACTCTTCTAGCCTTTCACATACTGCTGTAACCAACATGGAAGAACCAAAAGACAATACAGTGCCTGTAAATTTATAGTCCTTAAGCCCAAGACTATCCAGATCTTGTCCTCGTATCTGCTGGGTGAATGGAGAACAACTGCCTCAGGCCTCTGACTCCTCACCTTCTAATACTTTTCTCCTTTTGCCAACTTCTGGCACAAGAAAAGCAAATGAAGCATGGGATTAAGGGGAGAAAGAGAGAGCAAAGGTTATTTCGCTTTTGCTGAGGCATCATGAGAGATAGCAGGCCCAGGAGAACTAAAGCCTCAGGGAAGAGAGGTTTTTCTTTATGTAACTGTTTGCACCCCTGCCATTAGTTTTCCTGAGGTTCATTTCATCCACCACCCCCACAGAGCCTCAGTATGTGACTGTGGGGCAGTGGTCTAAATCAGCAGATCCACTGAATGTGTTAAGTCCTGTCACTTCTTGCAAGTGTACTGGGCCCCTCACATTTACCTTTTGTAATGAGAGGAGTAAACAATAGAACAGATTGAAAGCTATGGGATTATGTACGTTTAATTGAGGGTCTAATAGAGCTAAGGCTATGGACAATATCACTTTTAACTGTTTTAAAAGGGGAGGGGGGGGAACTGCCTCTTGGGAGCAAGCATTCTCTGATGTATCACTACAGGAGCATGCAGGCAGGAGTTACAAATTAGCTGTCACTGTAACTTTAACCTTGAATGGAACAGGGTTAAAAATTGCAGTGGTTTTGGTATGCTTTCAGGAGAAGGAAGATGCAATCGTTACATCATAACAGTTTATACTGGTATCATTTGATATCAATACAATTGTTACATCTGACTTTACCTTTAAAAAAACCTTTTGTCTCTTGTGGAGAGATAGAGAGAAACTAGTTTCATTCTTGAAGTCTGGGATGAGGGATGTTATGTGTAGTGTTACTAGGGAGGATAACAGAACAAACAAAACTTGCTTGCCAACTGTAAATATTTGCAATCAGTTCATGAATATGGAATTTCACAATACTGTTTATTTACAATAATTATTTAGGCTGGAGCAGCATTTTAAGCTGAGGGTCTCATTCCTTTCATAGTGCCTTTTGTATGCATTGACAATGATTAATAAGTGGCCTCAATTTTAGTACAGACCTTGGCCAACTCCAGCATTCTTCAGAATCAGAACTCTAATATTATGTCTTGTAAACTTAGGGAAATGAATGTCCCGTGAAAGTGGTTCCAGCTCTGCAATTTCAGAACCTCACTAGGAGGGGAAAGTGTTTTCCCTGTGGCGCTTTGCCACCTCAAATGTGATTTCTGAGTAAAAAGAGCCACTACCATGTAGCTAATGCCAAGCTTTTTTCCCATTACATATGGTCATGGACACATTAATATTTTCAGTGGGCCATAGAAAAGGTCACATAGGACTTATATTGTTGCAGCAGTGGTCTTAATTACAGCACACTATTTTGGTTTTAAGAACCTTCCACATAGACATTGGAAAAGTTTCTGCCTAATTGTTCATTTCTCTTGATCTAGATCACAGAGTCTCTACAGGCCCAGCGACATTTGGCTTCTGACTTGGAATAGAAGAGTTTTAGATTATGGAGGGGAAAGATATGGGTGGGTAAAATTATAATAGAATATGCAGAACTTAATAGAACCCTATTTCCAGCCTCCTTATTCTGTGTTGTGGTGGTATTGTTTCTGTTTCATTTGGGAAAAGGAAGGCGTTTCATCAGTTCTCATCTTTTTGCAGGTAGCTTCTTTGATCCAAAGTATTCTCAAACTTCCCATTTCCTTTGTTCTGATTCTTTTGTGTCTGATTTTTTTCTTTCATCCTTTATATCACTTCACTGTCTGTAATTTATCCTTGAACTCATTTCTACCTCTTATTCACTTCAGAATTTCCTCCTCAGGCAAAAAATAAAGGACAGAGAGAGACAAATGTCATAGAACAACCACTTCTTTCTGACCTTACTATCCTCATGTTCCTATACCAAAACCCTCAAGGTGAATTTGGGAACAAATTCATAAGCTGCCTGAACATTAAGAAGCAAGTGACATTGACTTCATGGTATGCTATAATCCACCTGATTCCTGAAATTCTTCCTTCACACTACAGGCAATAATGACCCTCCATCCTTTTGATAGGTCTTGATCTCCCATTAAACAAGCGTCTTTCTTTCTGCTCATTTATCTGCGACCCCCTGGGAATTTCTTCCCTCTCCAAGTTTACAGCTCAGCGTGCCCCCACTGTTTTTATTAATTTCTATGCGTGCTGCTTTCCTCAGACCTGACTCAGAATGCCTTGTATTTGCAAGCTTGTCTTATTTTTTTTCCCAAGCAAGCAGTTGGTCCAAGAAAAGATGCCATCCAAATAAGTCCTTTCCCCCTCCTTCAACAGCACTTCTTGCATACAAGATCTCTCTTGCACTCAGTTTATCAAGAAGTCCTGTTCGTGGTGTTTCTCCCCTTTAAATGCTGTTGGATCTTCAGATTCTACATCTGGTTTGCATCACCATGTTAGGTGCCTCTTAGACTTTGGGCATCTATCCCTTCTTTAAAACATGCTCTTTCTTCCATGTACACTTTATGTTAGAGCTATGGACAATCCTGAACCTGAAGTCCTATGAACTTTTGCTATTTTAGCCCTTAACAATCACACTAAACTAGCATGTGTAGGAACACAGCCCCGTACTTCGGTCCTTCCCTTTCTCTTATCAATGAACCTGATTTCAGCATCTCTCTCCTTCAGACCATTATATTTCTAGGCCAGGAATTAGTGAATCCTGCCTCTCATGAGACCTCCGGCCTTCTGTGTGAGTTTGCCTTTAGTAACAGAGCCTGGCTAAATGGGTTCTGGCAGGCAAGAATTTCAGTCTTGAATTAATGAGGTACTCATTTACCTTAAGATCATAGCAAGAAACTATAATAGTGTTTTGTTCTACATTGGTCTAGGTCAGGGGTGCTCAGCTTTCAGCCTGTGCGCCAAATGCAGCCTGTGGAGTTTTGGAATCTGGCCCACAGGGCTCCCCATGGGTCAGGAAATTTGGCAACAGGGGGAGCAGTGGCAGCATTGCCACCCTTCCCTGCTGCCAAAATCCTGAGTCCTGCAGACCTGCAGGTAAGAATTGGGCCATGAGACTCTCATCACCTGGTCTGATTGGGGATGGGCCACATCCCCTTCCCTTTGTACAGCTGGGTTGGAGCTGGGCTGCACCCCCTTCTCACCATTGGGTCAGATCACGTCCCTTCCCCTCCCCTGGAGCAGCTGGTTCAGGGGAAGCTGGTTCAGAGCCAACTCACGTCCCCTCTCCACACCCCAACCCCAACTGCAGGGTTGAGCCATCCCGCCTTCCTTCCACTTGGCCAGATTGGAGCTGCGGCATGCCACCTTCCTCTTGCAAAGCGGGGCCATGCCCCCCTCCCCTGACAGGGCTGGATTGTGGCTGGGTCATGCTTCTTCCTTTCCCCCCTGCCAGTGGCTGGATTGGGGCTGGGCCAAGTCCTGCACAACTGGAATGGGGCTGGGCTGCCTCCCTCTGCATGGCCGGATGGGGCACCACCCTGCCCACCCCAGGCACCAAATTGAGTCTATTGGTCAAATTTGGCCTGTAGAGAGTTCAGGCACCGCCTGTCTGGCCTCCTGGCCAAAAAAGGTTGAGCACCACTGGTCTAGGTGTTTTGAAGAAAAATAAAAAAACAATCCTACAGTTTCTGGGGTGACTGTTCATCTCTAACTATAGGAATATCACCAGTTACTCCTTAACAACTGCGTTTCACTGGAGCTTTTGTTCTAGATGTAAGTTAGCATCTCCAACTATCCTTGATAGCCTGGAAGTTCATTTTTCACGTAGGTTCTCAGAGGAAGAAGTTGTGTTTTTGTTTTTGTGATTTTCTTTTTCAATTCTACCAGAGGAATTGGACTCTATTAATTTGATATGGTCAGGTTAGGATATATATCTTTCTTTCTACCTGTTCAAGTTTTCCATAGTGTCTAGCACGACTATAGCAGAACATTTCACTAGAAAGAGCAATAGATTTATTTTCATGCTTGCTCCAGCACATCATCTGTTTCCTTGATGGAGGCTAAAAGATGAATTTCCTGTAATCAATTACAATATGCTGACCTTTCAGATCAGTGACGGAGGTTCTCATCTCTATGTGCAAGTTTATATTTATCCTGCAACTGCCTGTACTTACCTGTTAAAATATTACCCCCCAAAATCCTTCTCTTGCATAATTCCTGGACTATTATGGCTACAACATCACTTGGTTAAACTTTTGTCATTTGTCATTAGTTTTTCAAGTGTCTGTAGATTTCCTTTTTGAAACTGCATGAGAAGTATTGTTGAACCTTGTTTTCAGTCAAGGA